CAGCCAGGCCACTCCCCACAACTGGTTGCTGCCTCTCAAAAGCTGGAAGCAAATAACAGAATGGGAAGGATTGTGTTAGGAATCATATCTGTGTCTGGAGTGCAGTTAAGAAATGGTAACAGCAGTACCAGGAGCTAGCCCTGAGGTGACCTTCTTTTCCCTGGGGACAGGTGGAGTTCCCAGAGGCTCGGATTTACGAGGAGACCCTGAACATTCTGCTGTATGAGTCCCAGGATGGGAGAGGACCCGACAATGCCCTGCTGGAAGCCACGGGGGGAGCAGCTGGACGCTCCCATCACCTGGAGGAGGATGAGGAGCGCGAGCGCATCGAGCGGGTGCGCAGGATCCACATCAAGCGTCCTGACGACAGGGCACACCTGCACCAGTGAGCTCTGCCCCAGCCCGGCCCTGCTGAGGACCACAGGACCAGGTGGTGCAGCTTTCTGGCCAGCACACTCTGTAAATTCTGTTCCGTAACAAACTCTAGGTTATTTGGGGTATTTAAATGCAGTAGTTGTAGGAGAGGAATCGGTGAGGTTACTGGATGAGTGGATGGATGGATGGATACTGTGAGGACCTGTTGAGCAGCTGGAGAAATGCTCTGGACTTTTTTAGCACTCTTTTTAGCTGTTTTGTGCTAGAGAGGAGGAGAGCTGTGGTTTCCTTTAGCTTTGGGAATTATCTGCACTTTACAAACAAAACCACCACCAAACACAAGCTCACCAGCCACCCTCCTTCCCTCCAGGCACTCCTTCTCCCTCCTGGGCACTCCAACATGGGGGGAAGGCAGGGATCTGGACACAGCTGCTGCAGGGGCCTGGCTGTGCCTCCCCACAGCTCTCAGGACCTGCTCCTTGTAGGGTTCAGAGGAGCTGCTGTAGCACTGAACAGTGGAGACTGATCCCTGCTTTATCCCTACGGTTCAAGATTAACGTTTCTCCAAAAGGAGGAGGATCAGGAGCAAATTGTCCACAGTTCCTTTCCCCTTAAGGTGATGTTGGTACCAATTAGCACTTAGAGCTTCTGCCTGAGTCTGGATCTCAGCTGTGGACAGGGTTTCCAGCAGCTCCCAGGCCAGCAAGGTGTGTTCTGTCCTGCAGGGAAACCAGGAGTCACAGCAGCCTGGGGGGCAGCAGCTCTGGTTCCCTTCTGGAGCTGATCCAGGAGTGTTGCCTCGCTCTGAGTGAGGACAGCACCACAGGGAAGAGGAGCAGACAGTGGTCCAGGGGCAGACATTCCTTGTTTGACTTTATCCTGAGTGTATTCCAAGTGTTTTCAGCACTGGCAGCTGTGTGTGGAAGGGCAGAGGGTGAAGGCCACTGCAGCCTAGATTTCCAAGAGCCCTTTTCAATAGTGAATGAGTATTTTATCTACCTCCTCCTCTCTTGTTGCTTGCTGAGGAGTCAAGTGACAGTGAAGGTGGAAGATGGGGTATCATTCCATAGTGCTGGATGTGAGGGGGATGAGCAGAGCCACAGCTGTGACAGTTCAGGTAACAAGTCCTGGGAGGGAAAGAAACCTGAGGGAGGAAGTGTTAAACACTGTGGCTGACAGCAGAGCACTCTGCCCTGCTCTGGAGCTTCTTTTGACCTGTTTGCTGGAATATTTAGCACTGGCCTTAGCAGCCAGGCTCCTGTGGAGCAGCAGCTCCGTGTTCCTGCTCCAAGGATCCCTTCCTGGCTCAGAGCTGCTAAGGACATGTGGGCAGTTTATAAACCAAAGGTGTTGCCAGCACCACCAGCCACGTCACCCCAACACTTGTGTTGCAGGGCAGTGACTCCCCCCCAGCTGCACAGAGCTCCTTGTAGAGCCTGAAGTGTTTGTAGAGTTTTGGCTCATCAAGTAAAACTAAAAGATTTCCAAGTTAGGCTGAGGACATCTTTCTAGTAACCAAAGACTTCTCTGAGTCGCAGGCAGCTTCTGTCTGGGGCAGGTGGAGTTGTTGGCCCTGTCTCCTCTGCTCTTTCTCCTTCAGCTACTGGTTTATAACTAAGAGCTCGAAAGTTACCTGCCGCGATGGAGAGACAGGACGCTGCTTGATGCAAGCAACGTGTCTGTTTATTGTTGTTTTTCACAAATCCTTATAGTCCCTTTGCTTAGCATATTCCCTGCTGATTGGCTTATTCTAAACATTAGGTGTGTACCAATTGGTCAACCTAAGGCACAACAACTTGTTGTTTTACCCCAGCAACATCCCAGCAACTTCCCAACTGGGGGCTGGTGAGCCAGCACGCAGGTGCTTTCTGTTCAAGGGTCCCATCTCCACACCTACTCCTCCCAAGGCCTTCAGGCAACAAGTCCTAACACATCCCCTGACTAGCCCAGACATGCTGGAGCCTTGCTGAGATCAGCCAGGCCACTCCCCACAGTTACCCTCTTCAGCTCTGTTCTGCCAGTTCAGGGCCTCTAGTTTAAGTTGTCCTTTCACCTTTTTTGCAGCACCCTCTGGGTTGGTAGCAGTGCAGAGCAGGAGCTGGTGCCTGTCCCCTCATCCCTCCCAAGCTGTAGGAGTGAGGAAGGGAAGTCCTGGGTTGCTGCTTCTCCAGCACTGTGCACTCTGACTCTTACTGGTGTGTTCCTGGGCTGGTAGGGGGTTCTGTTCTGGGCCACAGGAGGACCAACCCAGCCTCACCCCCAGCTCTGCTGACCCACCTGGGAGACCTCAGCCAAACCCCAGTCACATCCTGTGGGGCAGAGCAGGTTCAGTTCCAGGAGGTGACACCAGTGCTAAGCACCTGACAGGTCACATCTATGTGATTAACTTCTCTGTAAATAGATTCCTAACTGGCTTCAGGCTTTTCTCTTTTCAGGTTTTGCAAACTTAAGTTCTTTACAAACCAGGGGACAGAGTTGTTTTTAATCTTTGTACAGCACTTTGTAGAGCTGTTGGTTTAGTCAAGTCACTCCAGGAGAGTTTCAGTTTTGTTCCTTCATTTCTGGGCAGACTCTGTTTTCACACACTCCTGCCTTCACCCTCTGTGTGCTGGAGTGCTGCAGCCAAGCTGTGCTGTTGTGTCAGAGTGTCCTTTACCTCCTGCCCCTCGGCCTTGCTCTGGGCACACTCTGGTAATGCCATTGCACAAATGCTCTCAGCCCCCTGAGCCTCCTTACTCTAAGTGGTTTTGCCTCTCAGGTGAAGGTGGGGTTCAGGGCAGGTGTCCTGGACACAAGCAGCTCTTCAGCTTATCCCAGTGCCTCCCAGTCCAGGGAGGACAGAGCTGTCTGCTGCTGTTCTGCAGCCACCAGCAGTGACAGCACAGCCCAGGGGAGCTGAGGGAAGCCTCACCTGGGGGAGGGATGTTGTCCAGCAGCACAAGGCAGAGCTGGACTCAAACCTGAGCTCCTGGCACAGCATGTACAGCTCTGAGGGACCACCAGCCCCTGGGTAAGGGGTTTGCCCCCACCTCTGGCAGCTGCTCCTGCACTTCCTTGAGGCAGGTTTGGGGTCCCCCCCAAGCCCCAGGACCTGTGGAAAGCTCAGAGCTCCTGTCTTACCTTAGAGCAAAGCTTAGATAGAACCTTTCAGTCTTAATGGAGTTGTTTCCTGGACAACAGCAGATTCCTGTTGTGTACAATCATTCCCTCCCAGTTGTACTCCTGCACAAAACAAGCTTCAGCTGGATTTCAGTGTATGGTTGGTGTTTGCAAATACGTACCTTCTTTTTGTTTTTTAACACAATAAATTAGAACATATTTCATATTTACATCTGAGTCACTTTATTTACCTGGTGGAAGCACAATGTCCTCCTCCTGGGCCATGGGGTTGGGAGGGAAGAAATACCTCATCTTCCTCCTGGGTGTTAGTTTGACCTCCTGGCACTGCTCAGAGGTGAAAGGCAGCAAGGCAAGGACCTCCAGGCTGCAGTTTCACCCTAGCCCAAGGGAGTTGGAGCAGCAGCTGAAGCACCATGAGCACAGAGTGGTGGTACAGCTGCAGCTTCCAGGCAGGAGGCAACAGAATTCCTGCCCCAGCACCCCCCAGGGAACAGCAGCAGCCAAACCTCAGCTCTAAGGACAGTTCTCCTGAGCTGTGACTCAAAGTAGAGCTAGAGGAGCCTTTTGGCTTCTCTGTTAATCCTTCCTGCCTGGTCAGAGCTCTCAGAGATAGAGATTTTAGCTATGGAACTGCAACTTTTGGGTTCAACATATCCCTGTGACCATGGAGCATCTCTCTACTCACTGGAATGTTACAGCAACATCAAGGAATTGATTTAGCTAGAGTGGAATAGTTTAAAGCTATACCAAAAAAAAAAAGAGCCTAAAAGATGCAAGCAAACTCTCAAATCACAGCAGCCCTGTGGCATCCAAGATTCCAGGGGAGGTGTGAGGGCTGGTTTCATCCTGCAGGCTCCTTTCTGTTCCCAGCCAGGACCTGGTTCTCATCAAGGCGGTCCTGGGGTTGACACCTGGGATGAGAAGAGGGAGGTATTAAAGCAGGGATAAAGTGATGAAGGAGTCAGTAAATCAGGGATGAGATGATGGAGTCATCAAATGTTATATCCCTGATGTGCCCTGAGGTGGTGGTGGTTGTGTTGGCACACAGGGACCACTCCCTCCCTCTCCAGGCTGCCAGGACAGCTGCCCAGTGCCCCAAGGGTGTTACACCTCTGACTGGGATTCTTCCTTGGAGCTGTCAACTTCTCAGCTAACCTGCTCGGGTGACAAGAAGTGCCTTCCCTCCATCCCCTGACCAAGCTCAGGCTTAACTTGGTTGAAGGAGCAACAAGAAGTGGCAAATTTCACCCATTTTGCAGGTGCATGTTCAACTTGGGTCAGGCTAAGGCCTCTAAGTGACCAAGCCAGGGGTGAGCATTGCTCCCTGTCCCT